AAAAGGGTGCGAGTTTCTGTCACTTCTAAGTTTCCCGTTAGCCGCAAGATTGCTTGCATGAAATTATTGACCGTGTGCCCTAATGCAGTACTGCCATTTTTGGAGAAAACTACGTTCTTCCTCTATCCAATTGGTGTGGTCTTTGTTCTTACTCCAATCTGTAAGTCATAATGAAACCCTCAACTCCCTGTTTCTGAGCTCTCATTCTGAAAGTAAATTTCACTTTCCTTTTATGGCTGCAGTTATCTTGATTGGCTTCAACCCATCAAGATATTTCATGAATATGTACTTCAGTCGGAACTTATAATCTCGAGTTACGGATTCGGCTACACATACCTTGAGGAGGAGGCGCAGGATTGATAGATCAAAGATTTATTTTTCACTTGCATCTTGAAAAGAAAGGAGGAAGTGTGTGGGTAGATACAGCCTCAGTTGCTAATTTTTCAGGCCATTGGTGAGCGATATCAGGAAGTGTAGTGCATCAGGGCTGCAAGTGAGTTAACGCGGCTGAATTTTTGTTTGATGAAATAGATGATATTTGTTGGATGTAATGATTTTTAGCTGATACATTGTTTGCAGTTTACACAAAGCACTTGAAAAGAAAATTAATTCCATCTGCCTTTCTGAATGTGTTTGTCAATGTGCAGAGAGAGACCTTTTATTTAGATCTCTTAAACTGCTTTCCATTTGACCAGAAACTGATGCCTTATTCCCTTCGCCATCTTTTGACTGGTGCTGGAAAAGGATGTCTTATGAACTGCAAATCACAAACTGGAACCAACCCAACTTTTCAATGGAATACCATAATCTCCCACAATTATTCTGTTTTTTTTTTCTCTTTTTTCTTTTCGGAGTAATGTCGGGATTTGCATCTCTAACTTTTTGGTAGGAATGTCCATTTTTTTTTTTGGGGCGAATTCAGTTTTAAGCATAAAGTAGAGAGAAAATTCACCTTGAGCTACACGGAGACAAGTCATCTCCGTTATTTTGGTTAAATTATACATTGTGTATCCATTATTTTGGTTAAATTATACATTGTGTATGGTAGAAGGTTAAATTTTAGTTTATATGATTTTAAAAGTTATATAATTTGTTCTCGAGAAATTTTGTAATAACCCAAAGTTAAAAAGGAATAACAAAAGAAAAGAAAATGAAAGTTGTCTAACACCACTTAGGTTGAGAAAGTAGGGAGTTGGACTCTATTATAAAAGAAATTCCTTTCATCCCACTTGAGTGGTTCTAGGTCGGTTTTTTGGCTGATATTGCTTGGGTGGGTTCGATATGTTCGGACCCTTTTCTATTGGTTTCAACTCTTCAGAAGGTTAATATGCCTACTTTTGAAGTGTTTAAGGTTAATATGACTACTTTTGAAGTGTTTAAGGTTAATATGAAGTGTTTAAAGTTAATATGACTACTTTTGAAGTGTTTAAGGTTAATATGAAGGGTTTAAAGTTAATATGACTACTTTTGAAGTGTTTAAGGTTAATATGAAGTGTTTAAAATTAATATAACTACTTTTGAAGCGTTTAAGGTTAGTATGACAACTTTCCAGGTGGACTTTTTGGCTGATCCGGTTAGGGTTTGATATGCTCATATCCTTTACTACTAATTTCAACTCTTAGTGAGAATTTAAGTTTGGTATGACTACCTTCTACTTGGAGTAAAGTTCAAATTATTTTATACAAAATTAGATGAACTAATTTTGACAATTGAATTCTAATTTATGATTACGTCTCTTTAGGTAAAATTAAATTTCATAGAGTAGTGTTAAATTAGCACCACGGGATCATAGTAGTTTCGGCTTAGACCAACGAAATACGTGGTTTCACTCTTGGTTTGGTTGGAAAAATTGTTTTATGTCTGATGACACGTGCCTAGTGGCCTTTGTCGTGTGTGATAACCTTTGATATGTGATGTTATATTATGTTATGCTATATGATATCCTAAATAATACTATAGTATAAACGGAATATCATGTTATGTAACGATAAGAAATGCTATGTTATGACATGCTATAATATGTTATACTATGACATGTCATGATATGTTTTAAAACAAGAAAATCTATGAAACACAACCTTCCTATGCCATGTCATGAAAGTTATGTTATGTATGAAGTGATGTATAAGAATTATGTATGCATAATTACCAAACTTAATTGTTATGAAAGATGGAGTCTGTATTGCATCATTTATTATGCCATGATGGAAAGTATGGGGACCTCATTCATAACTGTATGTTCACGTGCATCGGGATACTTCCCCACTATGATGAGTACGAAAGCATACACTATGGAGGTTGATTATGACCATAATGTTCGCCATGATGATTCAAAGTCCGATATTCCCTCTAGGTGTCCGAAAACTGCCGGTCAGCGAGTGCTAGACTAACCAGCAGGCCCAGGTGGTTTCGAGCTCTCCTGGTGGGTCCAATGTAGATAAATACTACACATCCAATTTAGCCCGGATTGGAAAGCCCAGAAAATGAAATGATGTTTTAGATGATAGGTCACAACATATTGCATGTGAGTGCATTTCACAACCCTGTAGTGGGGTCATTCATGAGTATTTATTAAAATACTCATGATATGTGCTTCTCTTACATTTCAGGTAAAGGCAATGTGACATGTGTCAGAACCTAACTGTGAAGAGAGTAGGTAGGTTGTGACCTTCACGTTGCAACAAGAGAAGCGGCGACCCACAAGTGACACTCATCCGGCCACACGAGGGCCTAGATGAGTGTCATGATGCGACCGAGTAGGACGGTGCAGCATCTAACACACCACATAGAGTGGACATTGAAGACAAGTTGAGGCATAAGCAAGATAGAGACATCAAATAGACAAGATGGGCGAAGATAGGCTTGTTGAAGGGCTGGGTAGGTCCTGGGCCTTAACCTCAAAAGTCGGGGTTTCGGAAAGAATTTGGGTATGTGGTTCTAGAGTTAAGTCCATCCATATGAAATATGAATGCTCACCAAATTTGGTGTCAATCAGACACCAGACGGACGCTCCATAACACCATATGACCATTCACCAAAATCATGTCTATGCCTAAAAGTTTGAAAATGACTCAAAATGTACTACAGAATGAGGCAGGGGTCAACTCTCCACCACCCCTGGGTCTTGTGGCCTAAGCGAGCTAACCTGTGGTACATGCATGTGTCACAACTCTTGGACGACTTCCATTGAAATGAGTTTTTCAAAAACAGTACCGGGTGGCACGAGTGTGGACGACTTCCATACAACTTCCATCATATCATACATGTTGTAGCGACTCTATTTCAATAGAAAAATAAGATCGTTAGTTTATTAGATTCCAATTTACCCTTAACTATTCACGACATAAATGTCCAACTACCATTTGCTACTTGAGGTACCTGTCTCATCGACTATACTTTTCTTCTTTTTCTTACCTCGAAGTTCGAATAAGGAAACAAATCGAGGAGTGTACCAAAAAAAAAAAAAAAAAAAACCCACAAAAGAAGAAAAGTGGTTGAGGTCGACCCCATAGGTCTAGGCTAACCATAGCATTGGCAAGCCAAGGTCCACAAGTTCTTTTCTTATTGTAGAGAGGAGGTGGAACAACACCAGCTAAAATTAAGACACTCTAACCCAACGTTCGATGTCTTTAAGGAAATGATGAATTAAAAATTGAGTAGAAAGTGATTTTAAACGAGAAAAGAAGAATCAAACTACATAAGTGGAGTTTTGAGGTGGATGAGCTAACCAATCTCACTTATTAACAACCAACCATCTTTCTATTTACACACCCATGATCACCTTCCAACTAGTTTACTGTTTACAGAGCTAACTTCATTTTAAAAAAACAAACATAGAGTCGTACTCTTATGCACGGTTGAATAAGTTGGGTTCATGGATACAGTCATTACAAGTAAATCTATTTTGTACGAGTTATTCATAATTACAGCTAGGTCAAAAGTCTATTTTTCCTCTGTAGTTACATCTTATACCTTAATACCACTGATTCTCAAATGAACAATTTCTTTATAATTCAATAATAAACTAAGCACCTTTCCTGAGAGGGTGGACCTTTGGTTTATATGAAATGTGTGAATTTCATCTCATGAAACTATGTTCCTTGTTCCCTGTTCGGTCAAGTCCTATAAATAGAAAGTTTATTGAATCGACTACAAAAGTCACTTTCACCCATGTAAATCAAAGAACAAACGCTCACCAAGAAGAGTTTATAGCTCACTTAGGATCAAGATCGAATTGCATATGACTATTTTGTGAAATATTAATCTCTTCAATTAACAGAATTATAATAAGAGATCAAATATTTCGCATTTCAATTTTATATAAACTCATTGTATAAGATACACTCGTTCACATGTCTCTACACATGAACGATTTAGATCAAATCATTTATAATAATTATAAAAAATAGTTGTATCAACAATCTTATCACGATAAAGACACCAAACTTTATGTCAACTACGTACTATTCAACCATATCATAATAACCACATGATAGTCCTACAATTTTATTCTAAAAGTGACAAGTTCACGAATCCGTATGACAATGTTACACTTTACGAAAACTAACGTCCAAAACTCATACGAAAAGAAGCTTAAAAAATCTTTAAGAAGGCCACATAAATATCTTCAACTCGAAAAAGGTAAGCTCTACCTAATTCCAAAACCTTCGGTACATTATGTTTCTCCTAAGCTTATGACAACCATCACATCTATATGCAAACTTTACCATTATTGTCAAGTAAAATTCAAATGAACGGTCCCTCTCAACAAATGCAAGTCTTAGCATCTTCGTACAATTACATAGAAATGACATGTTTCTCATATTCTTCCATCTCAAAAGAAATGGAAAAAAAACACTATAATGTCGATGTTTTTAGACACTTTCTTGACTTTATTGTGACAATTTTTCATTGTTCTTTGTTCGTATTCATCCATTCAAGATTAAGAATCAATCGCCTCAAAAGTTGGTGCAAAAAAGGTAGATTCATAGCTTCAAAACTTTGAAGAACGCATTCATTTTTAATAATTTATATTCAAACTTGCCCACCATACACAAATAAAGCTCAACCTTTGATATAAGTTCATAAAAAGTAGAGAAGAAACAAACATCCAAGTTTGATAATACTCTTTAAAACTTGCTTCCTTCCACATCCACCACGAACCTATACCTTACATCATTCTTCTCCAACCTTTCAATGGCTTTGTTTACATAATCCATCTTCACCACTTCCACCATTGAACTCAGCTCCTTCTCTTTGAAGAACTCCAAAATCTCTTGCGTCTCTTTCATGCTCCCGATGAAGCTCCCTGTAATCGTCTTCCTCCCTATTTATGTTCAGAACGCATAATTGTGAAGTTTATAAGTAAGAATCACGAGAGTTTATGCTAAAAGTGAACAATATCATATTATTATGAAGAGTTATGATTCCTAACATAGTATCAGAGCTTACCTAGAATGACCATAGGAGAGACGAATTGCAAAGGATTATTAATAACGCCCAACATGATTAACTTCCCATCGAGTTTCAGCAACGAAAGATATGGCTCGAGAGGGTGATGGGCTGGCACGGTGTCGATGATGTAATCGAGGGAGTCCACGGCTTCTTTCATCCGAGCATCGTCGGAGCTGACGAGGTAGTCGTCGGCGCCGAGATGATCCAAAGCTTCTTCTCTCTTCTTGTTGGAGGAGCTTATGACTGTGACATGGTGGCCCAATGCCTTTGCTATCTTCACACCCATGTGTCCAACGCCGCCGAGGCCTAAGATCGCTCCTCTCAGCCCACTTTTCTTCAGCCCGAAGTGGTTTAGTGGGCTGTATACTGTCACGCCGGCGCATAGCAACGCCGACGCCTGCTCTGGCGCCATCCCATCTGGAACTTTCACCACAAATCTACACAACAAAACCATCAAAATCAGAACAATAACATCAAAAGTCAAAAGATGAGAACAGCCACGGCGGCTTACTTTTGGTCGACGACCATGGCGGTGGCGAAGCCGCCTTGGGTAGGGCGGCCGTCGGAATAAACATCATTATTAGTCCAAATCCTGTTATTGCAATATTGCTCTCTGTCAGTCTCACATCGTTCGCAGCTTTTACAAGATCCGACAATACATCCAACTCCGACAACATCCTTCACTCTAAATCTCGTCACGTTCTTCCCAACTTCCACCACTTCTCCGACAACCTCATGCCTTCAAGAAAATAAAAAAACACCCATTATTAAAAGCTCAAAAAACAGAGTAAAACAGAGGAAAAACAGAGGAATTAAAAGTACCCAGGAACCATGGGGTAATTGGACATTCCGAGTTCATTTTTGATGTTGTGAACGTCAGTGTGGCAGAGTCCACAGCATATGACTCTTATGTGAACATCCTCAGGCCCTGTTTCTCTGCAAATCAACCACAATTTTAAAACTTTGATGAAGAACAAGAACAAGAACAAGAAAAAACAGAGGTTTTTATGCTTTGAGCTGAATTCTATGGCGGACCTGAGCTGGTAAGTGTATGGAGAGAGGAACCCAGATGGGTCTCTCGCTGCAAACCCTGATGCTGTTCTTTCTCCTTCAACGCTACCCATTTTAGAGAGAGAAAGAGAGAGAGAGAGAGAGATTTTGTTGCAGAAATGGAAGAGGAGAGTTTGAGGAAGAAGATAACAGAGGATGAAGCATATAAATAAGGAGAGATTATTGGAGGGTTTGATTTTTCCTCGCAATTTCTTTTTTTTTTTCCTTTTCTAATTCTTTAAAAAAAAATCTTCAATCCCTTTTGAGTAAAAAATTAATTCAAATTATTTTTCATTTAATATTATAATATTATAATTAATTAAATTATGTACGGGACTACAAGAGTATCGTACTATATTAGTATAAGATATAAGAAAATTCTCACGTATATACACGTGTTAAATAATTATAAAAAACAATTAAATTTTCTCTATTATTATGATATAAAAGAAGATTATAAACTTTATTCTCAAAAGGAGTGTGTATCATTTATTACTATGTTCGGGTTTTATATGCAATTCGTTCATCGTTAATCGCGACAAAATCATTTAAAAAAATGTTAAAAATTATTTACAAAACCAAATTTACATCGAGTAAATAAAAAGAGAGTAAAATATTTCTATTTTAAATATATATATATATAATTCGCATTCGACGGTTGATATTGGTTGGTAACATCTAACCGTTGATTAATTTTTCAATGAGGAGAGAGGAAAGAGGTAGTGGGTGAGGTATGGGATGGTAGGAATCTGCTGCGGCGGATTGTACGACATCGAGTAGAGAGGACGAATCTGGACCGTTGGATTTTTAATTGTTTCTAAAATCATGATTGATGATCATGGATTTTTTTTAAAAATGGACAAGAAAATATTATATTCTAGAAAGACACTTTCAAATTTCCGAGATAGGTGGAAATGGAAATTAATTTGATTTTCATTACTAAGCAAAAAAAAATTAATATTTTTTTTAATTGTCTTTTTTGGAAGAAAAAAATTTATAAATAAAATATTATACTCTGTCATGTCTATATTATTAATTTAATAAATGTATTTTTAACTTATTATAATTTTATTAGTCAAAATGTCAAAATTAAATATTCATATTTAATAATTATATATAATTTTTATTTTTAGAATTAGTTGGTAAAGCATTTAATTTAATTTTTATTTTTCAAATTTGTAGCATTATTTGGTAAGGTTCCATTTGTATAAGCTATGATAGTCAATATTGAAGAGGTATGTTTATAATATATGTTGTGAGAATTAATGTGATATTATTTCATGCATACATCATACATGACAACTACATTTACCAGTACCCATATCCCGATCTCCATTTATCACGACTTTGATGTCGTTGATGAATACCTTTTTTAAAATTATACGATTAAAACTTCTTATTATTAATATATTTATATTCACATCAAACTTTATTATATTCTAAATATTTGTTCGTTCATTTTTTTATGTCGATATTCAATAAATGGATATGTGGAAATGTAACGACCCAGATCTACTGCTAGTCGGTATTGTCTTTTTTGGTTGGGCTTTCCCTTTCGAGCTTGCCCTCAAGGCTTTAAATGGTGATTTTGTTCTCCTCCCCAATCAAGGTGTGACATCATAATCTACCTCCCTTCAGGACCTAGAGTCCTTGCTGGCCTCCAATCGATGTGGGACCGCCCCAAATCCATCCCCCTTTGGGGTCTAGCGTTCTTAGTAGCACACTGTCTCGTGTCTACCCTCCTTTGAGGAACAACGAGAAGGCTGTCACATCGTTCGATTTTTGGCTCTGATACCATTTGTAACGACCCAGATCCACCTCTAGCCGATATTGTCCTCTTTGGACTTTCCCTTTCGGGCTTGCCCTCAAGGCTTTAAAACGCGTCTACTAGGGGAAGGTTTCCACACTTTTACAAATGGTGATTTGTTCTCCTCCTCAACCAATGTGGGACATCACATTTTCCATGTTATTCATTCAAAATTTTATTTTTAATAAAAGTAAAACCTCTAAAACATCTATTTATTTATTTTCAAATATTTATATAAGATTAATATATACTTTTAAAAATTATTTTATAAATAATTATGAATTTAAATAAATAAATAAAAATATATATATATATTAAATTTGAATTAATTTAATAAGAATAATCCTAAACCAAACAAATTCATAAAATTTTATTTAATTGAACTCAATCTAATTTAAATAATTTCATAATTCAATCCATACGGTATGAATTGAATTGGGCTAATCGAATCCTGTACGATTATTATGAAAAATATCAACAGTATCTTCTAATATGAATATCCTGAAAGGATACTATAATTTTTATAACTTTAATTAAATGAAATATATAATTTAAACCCAAACATAAATACTTAAAATTAATCTATTTTGATTCGTATAAATATTTAATTTCTAAACTACTTTTTTTTTTTCCTTTTGTAATTAATTTATTTCCACGGTAATTATTATATAGTTGAAATATTTGTTTGTGGGTTTGAAAGTTTTAGGCTCAAATCAAGCCGAGAATTTAGCGTTTTTTTTCCAACCCATGCGATTTAGAAACATCTAAATAAATAAAAAATTGTTTATAATTTTTAATAAAATGTTATATTAAAAATATAAATAAGAAATTCAAATATATTATTTATTTTTATAACAAAAAAAAAAAAAATTGATAGTAAATGAAAATACAATAAATTACGTCTAAAAATTCATATTAATAAATGTTGAAAATTGACGTTTTATTAAATAATGATAATAATAATAATAAATTAATAAATGCGTTTTCAACTAATTATTTTCTTCTCTTGACAAAAATGTTGAAAAATATAGAGTGGAGAGTGATTCAAAAAAGTATATTCTTTTTACATAGTTGGACTTTTCTTTCCTATAAAATTGGATCAGGTCTAATTGCTCGGGTTGTAGGTGAGTTGGTTCGGGTGGTTCGAGTCATTTATTCAAATTTTTGTTTTTAATAAAAATAAAATATTAGCTCGTAAAATATATATTTATTTTTATTGTGAGATCCACATTTATTGGAGAAAAAAACGAGTGTCAGCGAGGACGCTGGGTCATGAAATTGTGTATTGTGAGATCTAACATCGATTGGAGAGAGAAACGAGTAAGACAGAGGTCTCAAAAAAGGTGGATTGTGAAACCCTACATCGGTTGAAGAGGGGAACAAATTATTTTTTACATAGGTGTGGAAACCTCTCCTTACTATACTCATTTTAAAAACCTTGAACGGAGGTCGAGGAGAGAAAATCCAAAGATGACAATATCTGATCGCCGTAGACTTGGGCCGCTACATTTATCTCTATTTAATTAGGAACAAACTTAATCCATAAAATTTGTGATTTATTTTTAACCGACCCAAAAAATTAACTTATATTTTATTAAATTTATATTTGGAGATATTTGAAATATAAAATATAATTTATATACAGCTTGCCTAAACCGAAAGTCACGTGACCGACCACACATTTTAAATTATCGATGTATTATTATTGAGGGTAGGAATAGATGCGTCATGGAGTATCTCAGCTTTGTGCACAAACAGATGGCGGCGAAGGATGAAATGACTAAATTACCCTCAGACGTCTATTTTAGCTTGAATTTTTTGAGACGAATGGAGGAAAATGATTGGTCCACGTTGTCTTGTGGAGTCTTACGTCAGCAGGCCTTTTTCCCCCAACTTTTTTGATTTCTCCTAATTTTTGTTTTGTTTTTTTCTTGGAGGTGGCTATCAAATAAATAAAATAAAATAAAATATATTTGATGGTAACTTTGAGAGATTTAAGAGAGATTATTTGCATAATTAAAACCATAATCTTTTAAATATTAATGATTTTTGTTATAATAATAGTGACATAAACTAATAACAATTAAATCAAAGGATCATATAAGATCTTAGTCTTTCACACATTAAAAAAAAAAAAAATAAATAAATAAATTAAATGCATCACCATTACATGATGATGACATGCATATCTTTATAAACATGATTACTTATTAATAATTTCTTTATTTCCTTTTGATTATTTAAAAACAAGATTGATTTTTGCTTTTAATTTCATCCTCTATCTTATATACATTTTTAGAGTGGTGCGAATTAATCATTCTGGCAATACGCTATTGAATCTGTAAATCTGTAGTTATCTGTACGAAGGATTTGGATCAGAATTTGAAATCTATATTTGACACTTGATAGCCCCGATATTCTCCTACATCTAACTGTTGGATGACGAAAGTCCCATGTTGGCTAATTTAGAGAATGATCATGGGTTTATAATTAAAGAATATTATCTCCGTTGGTACGAGGTCTCTTGGGAAGTCCAAAGTAAAGCCATGAGAGGTTATACTCAAAGTGGACAATATCATATCGTTGTGGAGAGTTGTGTTCATCTAACACTAACGACCTATGTTAAGGATTTGGATCACGATTCAAAATCTAGATTTGACACTTGATAGTCCCGTGATAGCCTCGACATTCCCCTGCATCCCTTATAACATGGTTAAGTTATGATCCACGAAAGATTTGTATCAGAATTCAAAATCTATATTTGACACATGATAATCCCGATATTTGGATCACAATATGAAATCCATCCTCACACACATGCATCTTAGGAAAATCCCAATGGGTCACCCAATATAGAGTTTCGGTAGTATAAACAGTGATCCTTACTTTTGTTAAAACGTTTATTAGTCATCCTATCTTTTTTATCCCTTTGATTCAGACATAGTCTCGATTTATCTAGTATCACAAAGCCTAAATCTTTATATAATAAAAATTAACATCTAATTTTGAAAGCATTTCGTTTGGTAGAGATTAAACGGTCAAAAGTACTTGGATTAAATTATAAAATTTATGACCTAAAACGTTAATTTCGAGGAAAATATACTTCAAATTGTTTTTAAGGTCTCAAACATAAATGATGGCTGCTTCTAGGAAAGAAGGTTGTATGATAGAAAACGACATGAAGCTACGAACGAAACGCAGACGGCTGGAATGAACAAGAGCGAGATTCATTAAGGTAGGCGGGGGAAGCACGGGTGCCGACAGGAACACAAAAAGTTTAAAATAAATAAATAAATAAAA